TCTCCGGGGGTAAGAGATCTGTTGTCTGGAGTTCAGTTGTGATACCCAGCGATCTTCAGGCTCTACCTAGAGGCTGGCTACCCTAGGCATAGCAGTTAGCGCTTCAGAGCAGGATCTGCCAGACCCAGGTTCTTGCTGTGGAAGCTGTGATTTCGGACCAGTCACAGACTTCCAGCATAACCCCCTCCCCTGCCCACTGCCAGCTTGGCCACTTTCCTCCTGGGGAACCATTGCTGCCAATCTCCAGGTGAGGGGTGGAGGTCACTCAGAATTGCAACTGCTCTTCAGGTAGTAGAGATCAGTTCCTCTGGATAAAATGGTGGACTCTGTCATTATAACCTGCTGACATCGCCACAGCAAACTGACGCTGAGTGCCCAAGGCCGGGGCACTCTCCCAGAGCCTCTTTCTAGAGCTCGCTGTATTTCCACAACGGGCCTTATTCTAAGTATTACAATAATTTCAATAAGTTACCTAATAGTACAATAATCTCTACCATAACAGCCAGAACATGAATCCATCCATCCTTATATCTTGTAGAGTGGAGTGCTGTCAAATGCTGAACAACAATAGCAGATGAATGACAAAGCAGTTGTGATTGGATTAGGTGATATGCAGAGGTGTAGTAGGTGCGGAGAAATCAGCATTGGTAATGAAACAGGAAACCTAGGTCTCGATTCAGTTCCAGAGGATGCATTGTCTTGAGCTTCATTCTTAGATGCAATTCAGCAGTCTCTCTAATCTTCCATTGAAATCCCTTTGAAATGATTCCACTCTCCAAGATATAAGGAACATTTTAACCTTCCAGTTGCTCATCTAAGAGTAGCAGTTCTCTTACAAAGGACTTCCACAGGGAGATTAGAAAGAGAAACTGCTGAATAGCAACTGATAATGAAACTCAAGACAATGCATCCTCCTGGACTGAACCGAGACTTGGCTTCCTGACTTATTACCAATGCTTATTACCAATTCTTCATTTCTTCTACCCCTCTGCATATCACACCTAATCTAATCATGCCTGATATTGTCATTCAGCATCTGAAATCACTCTAATCTCCAAGACATAAGAACAGATGGACTCATATTCTAGCTGTATCTGAAGAGGTGAGCAGTGACTCACGAAAGCTCTTATTCTGCCACAAATTTTGTTAGTCTTTAAGGTGATACTGGACTCTTGCTCTTTTTACTACTGCTACAGACAGACTAACACAGCTACCAGTCTTGATCCATTCTCACAGTGTATTATCAGTTATTGGCCATTAATTGATAATATATCTATCAGCGTATGTTTCTATTTTGTCACTGAGTGCTCTTATTCTTTGACACTTGATTTCTCAGTTTTTCAGTTAATCTACTGCCAGTATCTCTTCAATATAATCCAGGCCTCTTTCTGAGTTACCTCAAAGTCAACACTAGCTTGGTGCCACAGTGAATTATTCTTTGTAAAGTATATGTACATATTTACATGAACAGGCCATTCTTTGGTAGAGGCCTACAAAAGTGCTTTTGAATACAGCACCAGCCATTGTCTAGCGATTGTTCCTTAAGGTTTTTGGCCTTCATTTTTTATCTTTAAGACTTAGGGTTGGATTTTATGACATGTGAGCCTTTGTTCTCATGAAGGTAGATCTACACTGCCTTCTCCCACAGTGACTTTTGAAAAGGTAATGCTGGAGGGTCTTTTAGGACAGACACATAGCCTGTAAGGTGGGAGAGTCCTATTGAAAGAAGGGGAAGTCAAACAAAATTGCTCCCTTCCACTAGTACAAAAGTTGGCAGAGAAAACTGCCTACTGGGGGGGGGGTGTCAGATTTAAAATAATATACAAATATAATCACTTAAAATATGATAAAAGATTTTATATAAAAATATAATAACATGTTTATTAAAATATGTTCTAGTTCTGATGACTTCTAAGCTTGCTGGATACTAGGGGTGTGCAAAAAAAATTTAACTGATATTTTTCAGTTTGGGGGTAAAACCCCCCCCCCGCCCCCAATTTCAGGATTTCCGAAAAATCCCAGATCCTAATACCGGTACAGTTTTGGATCTGGAATTTTTCAGAAATCCTGAATTTTTTCAGGTCCAATAGACCCAAGAAGAAAAATACTGGTTAAATAAAACCCAGTGCAAAGCTGAAACAGTGAGGAGCAACCTGCTCCCCATGGGCACAGCAGATCCTGGCTGGGCTCGCTTCTCCTGCAGTTCAGTTTAACTGGGCTGCAGGGGAAGTGAGCCCCCGGAGCTTTAAAGGGATTGCAGCAGAAGCCCAACAAACAGCTGAGAGGAGGGAGCAATGGACTCCGGCCTCTGCTGTTTTCAGCCCTGTAATTTCCAAATATACCCAAGGATTTTTTTTCTGGAACTTGTTTTTTTGGAGGGGGGGTTCTAAAAAAACCCCAGATACATTTGGGATGCTGAAATCTATCCGAAAAATACTGGTAAGGTATTTTTCGGGTACATTTTCGGCTTGGGTAGACCCAGATGCACACCCCTACTGGATACATGGGCATCTTGTTTCATAAGAAAAACTAAACACAAAGATCTCAACAGAAGGTGAATTCTCAGATCTTATCAATTACATAGTTTGAGACTATACTTGTTTGATTTTTTTTCATATGTAGACCTTATGAGATTTCCACATGTGGCTATTCAATAGTCCTAAGGATGAAACAAGATTCATTTTAGATGTACAAATAAGTATTTTTTATTAGACTGAAGGCCAAGGAGCCCTAAAATGTAGATGTACAATGAATTTTGAAAAATAGCACTTACCAATAAATGCAGTGACTTTTGGATTGATGATGCCACTTGGTAAGAGATGAAAGTCATATTCCACAGAATCCACCACAACAGTATGTCCAGCATTGTTGCCTCCCTGTAAGTTAAAGAAGATTTTGTTTTATAAGTTCCTAAAAATAGGTATGGAGAACTCACTTTAGTTACCTGGATCCTTTCAGACACATAGTTTCCAACTGTTCCTTTATAGCTAGTAAGTACAGATTTCTTCAAAACCAATTTAAGGCCCCGGTCACACAGGCCAGATATCGCGGGGGGAGGCGTGGTTGTTTGCCCTGGAGCGAACTACCGTACGACCGCTGGTTCAAACGTCCTGCCAATATCCCATGGTTCAGGGGGAGGTGCCGATCATACGTAAATCCTGCGGCGCGGCAAAGCAGCAGCGAGGCGGGGGTTGTGGTTTTTTTAACCGAAGTGTGCGCATGCACCGTTGGGTGCTTGTGCACATCCCGTGGAGACTTGGGGGGGAAAAACTTTTTGCGACGGGACATGGGCGGGCGCCGGATGCCACGAGCTACCACTGGAAACGTGATCAGACGCCTGCCCTTGCCCCACAGTTTCCAGAAACTAGTACCTTGGAGGTACTAGTTTTTTACGGCGCATCTTCGGCGGGAAGCCTCGGGTTCGCCATGGGAGCTCTACGCTTCCCAGATGTTGCAGTTTGATCGCGCCCGGAAAATCCGCCTATCTTCCATCTCTGTAGTGTGGCTAATGCTCCGTGTGACCGCAGCCTATGAATTCTTAACTCAGCAGTATAAACAGCAAATTGCTAGCTAATGCTTTTGACTGCACCAACACTCATCTGACTAATTATTTATCTGACTTGTCTTTCCATTCTCATTTACATCCAATGCCTTTCAATTAAACTCACAAAGTCTAAAATGAAAACTATTTCTTGAATGGAAATAACAATGTCAGAATATGCATGGCTGCCATCAGATGCCTGCTGCTGAGCTTTATTTAAAAGGGTATGACATTATTTGTTTGGCTGCTGTAAAGACGATGATGACCCTACAATGTACATGACTTGCTGACTTAATAGTTTCTAGAGCTTGAGGCAAACTCAAATGTGTTTTAAATATATTTCACATAATTTGAGGGCTAATTCTTGTGGCCACCACATGGTTTTTGGATCACACATGTGCTGGGAGTTCTGTGCTTCCCCAGGTACATGGGGTCCCAATTCAGAAAAGAGGCTTCACAGTGTACACCTACCCTGTACTGTTTTTCTGACCTGAAGCAACATCAGGGACCTAACAGTTGCTCTACTGGGAAACTTACATTTAATGATGAATACATGTTCATTTCCCAACAGAAAAAATGGTGGCTCTCTAGGGTCATTTCAGGTCAGGAAAATGGCACGTCAAGGAACTGAAACCCATTCTCCATGTGTGCTACAGTCCTCCTGACCCAAACAGGGCCTGCATGCACAGAACTCCCAGTGCAATACCATTGCCTGTACAGAATAAAGAGTCTGTTGTATGGGGTATGTATACCTATGTGGATGGTTGGTCTCTAGTTTGTCTAGTGAAACTGTACCTCCTAATCATTCTGAAAGAACAAGTGGAGACCCGCAAGAAACTTGCAGGATGGTTATCCTATTCCTCACCTTTGCTTCCTCCCCTCTCCCCCTACCACTCTCACACTCTCTCTCCCCTCTGCACCCCCTTTCTTTTTCTCTCTCTCCTCCATGTATGTTACTTCCTCTCTCTTTCTGACCCATCATTATTCTCTTTGTTTTTTTGCCTCCCTATCTCATCACTCTTTCTCTCTCTTTCTGCCCCCCACCACATCACTCTCTCTTTCTGCCCCCCACCACATCACTCTCTCTTTCTGCCCCCATCACCCAGTCTCCTGCCTGCTTCCTCTCCCCCACAGCAGCAGTGGCAGCATTCTGGGAATCACAACGGATCTCCCAGCTACGTAGCAAGCAGCTGGGCCTACTGGAGTCATGCAAATTAGGTGGTATCAAGTCACCCAGAGGGTACTGCCTAGGGATGCCAGCCTCCAGGTGGGACCTGGGGATCCCCTGGTATTACTGCTCATCTCCAGACAACAGAGATAACTTCCCATGGAGAAAATGGATGCTTTGGAGGGTGGACTCTACGGCATTGTACCTCATTGAGGTCCCTGTCCTCCCCAGGAGCTTCCCAGCCTGGATCTGGCAACCATACCCCCCCCGGCCAGTGGCCAGGGGGGGACCTGGCAACCCTAGATTGCTGCCAGGCCTAGGGTTGCCGACCTCTAAGTGGGGCCTGGAGACCCCCCCCCAAGAGTTACAACTGAACTCAAGACAGCAGAGATCTGCCTCCCTGGAAAAAATGGCTGCTTTGGAGGGTGGACTTTGTGGCATTATACCCAGCTGAGGCTTCTCCCTTCCCCAAACCCATCCCTCTTTACAGTCCACCTCGAAACCTCTAGGAATTCCCCAGTCTGGCACTGGGAACTCTTGTCAGGCCTGGCCCCAAGGCTCCCTCTCTCCCTCCAAGGCCAAAATAGGGCAGGAAAGGGCCCTTCCCCCACCCTTTTACTGACAGAGCCAGTTAGAAGCCTCTCTTCCCACCCCACCCCAACGTTCTAATCTCTCACCATTGATGCCTGGAGTTAGATCCCTGCAGAGGCCATTTCAAAAGGTATTGGGGGGAATTCAACCGTCCCTGAAGGGATTTTTTTTTTACTTTTTGGATTTTTCTGCAACCCCAGGAAGTTTCCTGACTATGTAGGAAAAGCTGTTGGGGGAGAGTGAGCCCTCTGTTGGCAGAAATAAGTATTCGCACAAAAAGAGCTACATAGATACAAAGATATTTGCATTAGCTTAAAACACCATTTCATAAACAATATTCAAATTTCATAGACAATATTCAAACACTTCCCATATTATAGCCTATAGTAAATCACTACTACAAATATATCAATAAATACAATTTCATTTACTTTTCTCAGATAAACACACAAAAGTGCCAACATATTTGAACTGAGGAGCAGATTCACCTGGGGGTGAGAGATGGTCTTCAGTGTAGTCAAGTAGAATTTGAAAATCTCTTCTATGCATAATACTCAACAAACACGTATGTTTGAAAATCTATATTCCTTTTTGGTTCAGACTATTTAATAAGCAATTAAACTTTATTTTTATAAGCTATTTAATGAACTTGGAAAGTTTGAAAAGAGGGTGATTATTCTAAGAAACCAAAACTGACTGTTTATAAAGGATAAATTTGATTAACAGCACAGTCAGATTCTTTGTTAATTAAGCCAATTCAATTGTGCTCTGCAAAGAGCAAAAAACAAATATCAATGACTATGGTAGTTAAACAGTGAATAAAATAGACAAATCCAGCCAGTTCCAGTTATATGAACATAGTTGGCATTTTTTGCCAGTCAAGCGTTACCTTGTACTAGTCCTTGGTGCCAGTGTTTATTAGCGATACAGCATGCAATCTCTGGCATGCCTTAAAGCCACCAGAGAGTCTGAAAACATTGATACTGTGTAATGCTAGGTCAGTAAGAAATAAGACCACAATTCTCCAGGAGACTATCCTGGAGGGATGCTTTGACCTGCCGTGCTTGACTGAGATCGGGGTGAGGGGTAAGGATGAGGTAGTTCCCGCCCTCACCCAGCTTAATTCCCCAGGATACTTGATCCTCCAGCAACATCGAACTGAGGGATGGGGGGGGGGGGCAGAGTGGTGATCTTCATCCTAGACCATTTTCCCTTCCAGAGGATCCCTGCACCAAATATCACTGGCCTTGAACATGTTGGCCTGGCTTGGGGTGTCAGGGAAAGGGTGAGAGTGCTCCAGGTGTACTGTTTGCCCAGCTCACCAGTAGACTCCCTTCTGAGGCTATCAGAGGCAGTAGCTGAGTAGACAGTGCATTTCCCTAGACTGTTGGTCTTAGGAGACTTTAACGACCACGCAGAGACGTCCCTACAGTGAAGCCTCAGACTTCATGGCTGCCATGGCAACTTTGGGACCCTCCCAGGTTGTCTCGATCCCCACACTTGAAGCAGGCCACACACTGGATTTGATCTTCTGTGCAGGGTTTGAATAGTGCAGTTGTTTGTGAATTGGTGCCATGGCCAGCCCACTTCCTCGTAAGGGTCGGTTTGGGTATGGTCAATCCCCCCTGCAGGAACAATCAGCGAATTTATACTCGCCTATGGAGACTAACAGATCCTGATGGTTTCCAAAATGCTCTGTGGGATTTACCTGGACCTGCTGGCAGTTCCCTTAAAGAGCTAAGATTTGGAATAGAGGTCTTCAGGAAGCTACTGACTGGATTGCTCCCCGATGCCCTCTGTGCACTCATGTCTCTGCGGCTCCTTGGTATAACGAGAGTCTAAGAGGCTGCTCAGATGGCTAGGGCAGAGCTGGCGAACATGAGACGAAGCTGCAAGAACACACTATAGAGCCCAATTGAAGGCCTATGAGGTGGTAGTGAAAGCAGCAAAGAGATTATTTTGCTGACTCCATTGCATCTGCTGGCTTGCAACCAGCTCAGTTACGAAGCTGCAAGAACACACTATAGAGCCCAATTGAAGGCCTATGAGGTGGTAGTGAAAGCAGCAAAGAGATTATTTTGCTGACTCCATTGCATCTGCTGGCTTGCAACCAGCTCAGTTAGAACATAAGAACATAAGAGACGCCAATGTTGGATCAGGCCAAAGGCCCATCCAGTCCAACACTCTGTGTCACACAGTGGCCAGAAATACCAGTGCCATCAGGAGGTCCAGCAGTGGGGCCAGGACATTAGAAGCCCTCCCACTGTTGACCCCCCCCAAGCACCAAGAAGACAGAGCATCACTTGCCCCAGAGCCCCTAGCTATACCTTGTGGCTAATAGCCACTGATGGACCTCTGCTCCATATGCTTATCTAATTCCCTTTTGAAGCCATCCATGCTTGTAGCACCCACCACTTCCTGTGGCAGTGAATTCCAAGTGTTAATCACTCTTTGGGTGAAGAAGGACGTCCT